TCACTGATATGAGTAGGCCTCAAAAGCCTAGGCCATTCCCAATGTGGGGAAGTTCAGCCACCAGTCCTTCATCTCTTTAAACGAAATAGTTCTTCGGATCTATCGGTAATCTAGAAAGCCTACTTATAAAAAGAAAATGCAACTCTGCCTTATTGACAGCGCCATCATAAATTTGATATTAGAAAGACCTGGCTTCTCCTGAAAGTCACATCTGTCCTGTGACTCATGGTTGTTTGACATAGTGGTAGTATGTCGAAAGTTTACGCTGAAAAGTCCGATCTGTGTTAGGAGTGCTGCTGAGACCAAAGCAAAATTGAAAATGTAGCCAACCCTTAATAAGAATACCTCTAGAGGGGCAAGGTTAAATAAAACTCAATGGAATCATAAAGCATTAATGTGATACAATTCATTTGCAACCTTCACCTTGTTCAACCTAGGGTAGTTTTACAACGTTGATATTTTTTCACTATGGGTCATACTAACTGATTATTTATTTTGTATTAGTTCATTTATACTCCTCATTTCACCCCCTTTAAAAGTCCCCTTTTGCCACGATCTATTTTCCATTCCACAGTAAAATAGGATTTTCTCTACTGCTATCTTACCCTAAAATTAGATTTGTACTGACATTCAACTAAGACCTAATGCACCATTTCACCCATACAACTTTTACCACCAGTCTTCATTAATATTCCACCCACCTTCAGCTTCTATGCCCAGGCTTGACTAATTAACTTCGCCAACTAACTACCTTCACCGTTCATCTATCCCGGCTCATCTACTCCGATTGTCGATTAACAACATTCTTGCAGGCCAGATCTCACAAAAAGAACGATATCAACCGTCAGACACTTCTAAGAAGTCAATTTCCACAACCGGCAAACTATTTGATGTCATGACCTCCAAGCTGAGTTGAGATCATCATTAGAACAACATCATCGGTTTGTCGGCGCCTATTAGCTCGTGGTTCAGTGCCAAATCTTGCTTTGCTGCAAGATTAACGAGCCGCCCCTGGGAAGTCCAGACGTTGGGCCTTCCGAGACCCAGAAGGCCTGCTCCCGTTATCTGATCGCCTTACCAGCCTTTTCCCTGGATGATAGTCATAGCGCGCGGCTATGCCTGCCCCTCTTCATTACATATTCATGTGCTACTTCTCGATTAACCTTATGAGTACCGGCAGATTACTCACACTCGAGCTAAATAATCCATTGATCTTGTCCAAAATGTCTAGTATACTGGACATGACGATTTTTTACAGCAGGATAAGGATTTCGCGCATACCAGCCTCAAACCAGCTCCCCGTCTCCTTATTGCGCCTCCTCAACTTCTTATCGTGGTAACACTATGCCGAACACCGTCTCGGTTGCCTTGTCCCCACCCCCTTATCCTCTTGCGCGCCTCAATCACATAATCCCATACCAACTAACTTTATACACCGCTTAATCCTGTTCAGACTCCTCGATTCACTTTCTGTCTACTATTCGATTAAAGATATTCCTCATCGTATAGGCGTTTAAGGCCCCCCTTGCTTGCTCTTAGAATCTACATCGGAACAACAGCGAATTTTTACGGCGACCACCCATATCTTAGGTATGAAGACCAAGATGGTGTGACCTTTTGTGTGGTCGCAGTCTTATTTGCTTTATAGAAGTTGTTTGGCCTTGTTTTCGTAACATGGTCATATTGGTAGGAAGATTTAGAGGAACGCACCTAGTCCAGAGTCCATTGTCTGCATGATCATTTCCAAAGTTTAACCGTGGACGTGGTACATTTTCAAACGTTTCGCCGGCATCGTCAGTGAGTATCGCCATTCTTAGCACCATACAACAACTCATCAGAGACAAGTGAAGCCGATCCTTTGACCAAACGTGTGCTAAACAATTGTAGTATCTCTCCTTCTGCCCTGGGTTATTCGCGCTTCCGGTAGCATCATATCATGCCTTCACTATTACAATCTTTACCGTGTTTATTTGGATATAGTGTGGTGTGAAGGTTTCATATCGCTCAAAGGAACACACCACACTATATCTAAATAAACACGGTAAAAATTATGATAGTGAAGGCATGATAGGATGCTACCGGAAACGCGAATAACCCAGAGCAGAAGGGCAGATACCACAATTGTTTAGCACACATTTGGTCAAAGGATCGGCTTCACTTGTCTCTTTGACGAGTTGTTGTATAGTGCTAAGAATAGCGATACTCACTGACGATGCCGGCGAAACATTTGGGAATGTACCACGTCCACGGTTCA